TGGGTCAGCTCCCTGGCTGGAGCTGACGTGCTGCAGTGGCTTTAGCTTTGTCGTGCTGTGCTTTAATCCGCTGTGCCACCAGGGAGGGCCCTGACTTCACATTTTATGGGAACAGTCATGCCGGTTTGCTAGAATGGCAGAGTTGAGCAATGGCAATAGAGACCCTATAGAATATGAAACCTAAAATATTTACTAAGTGGCCTTTCCAGAAAGCCTGCTGATCTAGAAGAACTTGTCTAAATGTACTGGTCACGCTCAACCTTGCTCAAGAACATTTAGTGGCTCCCTGTAGCCCACTATCCCAAATCCAAACTCCTCAACTTCACGTTCAGGGCTCTCCAGTAGCAAAGGGGCAGCCCTCTTCTCCTCCTGTGTTTTCTGCTGCTTCTCCTGATGTCCCCCTCACAAGCCCCAAACACTTGCCGTACTTCCTCTTTCCTACATCTCTGTTGGTGCTGCTGCCAGGCCAGAGTGCTGTCCCCATAGCAGCTTCAGATTCTCTTGGCCCACTGCTACCCAAAGCTGGACACCTTTCCAAGTTGGCCTCAGGCTGCCATTTTCCTCAGGTCTTTCCTTGCCACCCAGGCAGAAGCTCTCTCCTCCTGCACCCCTGTCTTACCATTTCTGCCCTACATTCAAAGTTCGGAGCATAATGTATCCACTTCCATAATGAGTTATGCCCAGGTCTCTTCTCACCCCAACCCCTCCCCAAGATTCCTGCTTTCCAAGGGTGTGACCCCAGGTGGTGCCTGGCACCCAAAATGTATCAGTAGCTTCTAACTGGGTCAAACAATGTATTATTTTCCTTTATCTGGAGAAAGAGGGTATTATAATGTAACAACTTTGCTCCTGTGTAGTAAGGAATAGAATAGGGGAGAAGTTTTTGATGAAAGGACAGTGATTTTTTTTCTTTTTTAAACCCAAGAGATTTATTTATATCTCTCTGCTCTAAAGAGCTAAAAGATTCCCTTTTCAATGTTTGACTAGCACTGATAAGATTAACCAGGATCCAGCCAGGCCCTTGCTCCTTTCCCCAACTCCTTCTATCATCTTGGGTTTAATTCCCCTGTGGAGGGTATCCCATTGTAAGTCACCCCCAGAGTGCTGGTTAAAGTGTGGGATATTCACTTAAACCCATCCTTTCTCTTCTAATTCAATTTGATCAAAGATGACAGAAGTAGGAACCTCATCTGATTCATTTTCAGAACTTCCCTTTGGTATAGAATGTGCTTGAGCTCCAGCACAGGGTTCAGAAACAGACTGAGTTTAAAGTCAGTTATGAGCTAGCTGACCTCGACAAGCTGTTTTCTCATCTGCAAAGTGGGGCTAACACTAGTCACTTCACAGGGTCGAAGCGATGCATGAAATGAGATAGTACACCTAAAAGAACAGTGGGGTGCCAGACGTGGAACAAACACTGAACAACATCCCCCACCCCCTCCTGCTGCAGGGCACGATGCCTGGAGGTCCTGGAAAACAACACATTCTCACTGGGCAGGACATCCAAGTTTGCTTTTAATACCTTCACGGTTGTGTTTGCTTCAAACTTGAAAGCCTTGGTCTGTCCATTCTCCAGATACAGTTTGAGCACGTTGGGCATACACAGCAGAGAGTTACCCTGGAAAACACAAAGGAATGTTGGAACTGGCCCTTTGGTCCGTGGGTGTGATGAATCCTCAGCTTCACTGGCTCTCCCTAGTGTGGAAGGTGGGGTCCTCTTTAACTCCTCCCCATGTTGAGAATTGATTTCTGCAATGCCCAAGGCCGAGGCCACACTAAGACAGGCAGACTTTGTTCAAGAGATATCCCCTAAGTGTGTTAGACATGGAGGATGAGAGGAAGCTTCCACAAGGGTGCTCATAGCACTGCATCAGAACTTAGGACCATCAGCTGACACTTCACTTCTGGTAGGACCATCAGCTGACACTTTACTTCTGGTCACTAGATGAAAAGCATGTACATTGTCCCAGATAGGTATTTCTAAGGTTCATAGGCCCCTTCTTGTTGGGTTGAATTGGAAAGGAGGTAGGAAGCTTCCCCAAAGTCTTCCTCATTTTACTGCTGCATTTCCTGTAGTCAAGCATCATCAGAGAACAGAGAGCTACTCTCTGCCTCCATGCACCCCAACCTTCATGCTGAATGTGCAAGGTCTGCTAAGGCATTCTGCCACTCCTGTAGGGCTTTCAGGGTAAGAAGGCACAGGATAGATCTGTGTCTGGTGCCAGTCAGAATTCCTGGGGGAAGAACAGGGAAGAGAGTGATGCCCTTTGAGTCTGGAGATGACCCTCAGGGCCAGATATCAGGAAAAGTGACCTCTCAGTGTTTAGCTGCAAATGAAGGTTCTTGGGGCTGTTGTCCTCCCGAATCAGTAGTTGAACCAGAATGATCCCTAGGCTGAAACTCTGAAGAGTTTAAAGCATGAGGCTGACCCGAGTAAAGAAGCTCATTGCCCTTCCTAGAAAAGAGAATCTTTTTCAGATGACAGTCTTGCATTTTCCAAAATAAGGGTGCTTTGTCTTCTATGCAAAAGTCACTTATTGATCTGTAACTTTATTTTCTTAAAGAGGACTTATTTATAAGATTTATTTATTTATGCATGCAGAACTGGGGTACAGGCCAGAGGTGCAGGAGCAGTGAGAGGCTTCACCAGACAGAGTAGGGAGCAGAACAGGCAGACTGAAGAAATACACTGCTGAGGAGAGCAGTGGGTAGGTCAGGAGAGGTCTGCCACACCATGTGGATCACCTCCAGGGTCGGGGATCAAACTTGCACTGAAGCAGCTGCAGCCAGCTTGCAGTGCTGCATCCTAACCCATTGGGCCACCAGGGACAGCCCTATTTATATATTTAAAGATTTATTTTTTATTTATTTATGCATACAAGAACTAGGGTGCAGGCCAGAGGTGTAGGAGTGGGAGGTGAGAGGATTCACCAGAGAGAGTAGTGAGCAGAACAGGCAGATCTACTGAAACACACCACTGAGGGGAGCAGTGGGTGAGACAGAAGGGGTCTGCTGCACCATGTGGGTCACCTCCCTGGCTGGGGACAGAAATCGGTGCTGCAGTGGCTGTGGATAGCTTTATAGTGCTGAGACTTTAACTTCTGTGCCAGCAGGGAGGACCCTTTAAAAAAAAATCACAGTATTTTTATGAAGGAAAAGGGAATAGGTTCATCTCCCAGTGTCATTTCACACTCAGTCAAGGGTGAGAGAGTTTAAACTGCTTAGTCACTCTGTTCCCATTTTACTTTTTTCAGTTTTAGGGATTTAGTGATCTTAATCTTTAGATTTCCCAAGTGCAATTTTTTTTCCCTTGGTACTTTATCATTTTGTGATTAAAATTTTACTAAAAATAGGGCCCTCCCTGCTGGCACAGTGGGTTAAAGCACAGCACTAAGAAGCTAAAGCCACTTTCGCATGAGTTCAATTCCCGCCTGCCCCAGAGGTGACCACATGGCGCAGCAGACTTCTCCTGACCCGCCTGCAGTGTACTTCGCTGATCTGCCTGTTCTGTTCCCCACGCTGTCTCTGGTGAAGCCTCTCGCCACCCCTGAGTCTCTGGCCTGTACCCCAGTTCTGTATGCACAAATAAATAAATCTTAAAAGAAAAAAAAAGTTTACTAAAAATATATCCACAACATCACCTCCCTACCTCCCTTTACCTTTTGCTAAAGCCTCTTCCAACTTTTACCTCTACCTATCAATACTCAAATATGGCTGACAAGATCTCAGGGGCTTTCTGAGTAATATATTGGGCTTCCTGCTGCTCCCTTCCTGAACAAACTCATCTTTTATTCTCAGGTCTAACTGAAGGTGCTGTCTGTTTAACAGAAGGGCCGGTAGAAAACAAGTTTCTGCCCATGTAAACCAGGTCACCAGTACCCTGTGTTGAAATGGCCATGACTTTCCTATTTGAGGGTCTGTATATTGAGAAGACCAGGAAGGTCTGACTTGAAAGTTTTAAATCTAATATTGGTTCCCAAATTGAAAATGGATATAGACCATGAAGAGCAGGTATATAGATTTACCAATCCGCACTATCCTCACTACTATCAATGTACCACTTACTGAGGGAATACTAAGTTTGAAGGTTCAAAATGAGATTGGTGGGCTGCAATTTCATGAGTGAGAAAATGAGGTCATGGAATAACAGAGAGTCATGCCCACTCACCTCTCTCCTGTCCCACCCTTCCTCCCCTTCCACAGCATGTAAGCATCTAACTGAGGATGTGCCGAGCCTCTAGCAAACCCAGTGCACTTCCTCTGCATCCCTTCATGCTGGATTCCAGAGTGTCAGGGAGGCAGGTACAAAGTGGAAGTGTACCAGCTTCATGAAGAGTGCTTCCAGTTCCCTGACTAACAACACACCTGGCTGTGTCCACTGACAAGCACTTCCTCAGCAAAGTGCACCTTTACAGGGTTAATTTTCAGTCTGGCTCTCTTCTCCTCAGTCAGGAAGGATGACTTGGGGACTCCCTGCAAAACATTCATAAGGCACGTTTTAGAAATGTTCTTTTGTAAAAGTCATACACATGTGTATCTTCTCTTTTGTTAAAAGCAAAAATTCCAGCAGCTACTGCAGACACAATTAAAACCCACAGAGGATGACAATACCATTAAAGATCTCTTTTTATAAAATCTGGGCTTTTCAACTGTCTGAGAATGGGTGGAAATGCCTCATGGTTGTGGAATGATGAAGACAGAGACTGGCCTGTGAACAAGGAGATCTGAATCAGCAACAACTCAAGCTCTGATACTCAGCAGCTGTGGAAACTACCTCAAACATAAATTTTTATGGAAGAAAATTAAGTTTTGTGTGAGTCTCTGCACATGTGTAGAAAAAAACCAAACAGCTCCATGTGACTTTGGCCAAGTCATTGTGCTCCTTCGGCCTTCCATCTTCTTCCCATCTGTACAATAGAGGAATCTGGCCAGACCATCTTCAGGGACCCCTGAAGCTCTCTGATCTTTGTGATTTATTTTTCTCCTCTTTGCTCTTCTCACCTTTTGTACGGTACACTTTCTCACCAGAGGTAAAAGAAAAAGGAACTACAGCTTGGTACGAGTATGTGGGGAAGCACTTGTCTTAAAACAGTATCAGGTCACATACACAATTAGTGATGACACTATCAGACTGCTCTGAACAAGTTCAATATCCCTCCACCAAAGACTCTAGGGGGCTGGCGGACCTATTCTATATTACAGTTGGCACCACCAGAGAACAGTGAGTGAAACCAATATCAGGAAACAAAAGATGGTTAAGTAGCAAGTTTCCCAGAAAATGAATATAGGAGAGTCAGCAAAACATATATTGGTAAGCTTGTCTTTATTATTGGAAAAATCCAAGACAAGAGAGGGTCAGAGTGGTTTCAGACATGGATTACTAATAACCAATATGGGGTTACCAAGAACAAGTCAGGGTCAACCAAGTTCATTTTTCTTTTGAAGATAGGATTCCAGTTTGGTAGGGCAGGGTCCTGTGGAGATAGTAGTATTCCTTCATTCTTGCAAAGAATTTGATAAGGTCTCTTATAATCCCCCTGTGGAGAAGGCCAAAGGAGGCATAGCCATTAGGTGAATTCAAAGCTGTTAACCTATAGCAATATTATTGTGATTTTGAACCAAGCAACTTAGGTTCCATTTGGCTCGATCCTTATCAACGGTTTTAGCAACACTTGGGATGACATTAGAGAAACCTGTGAATGACACAGAGCTGAATGGGTTTTGACATCTCAGCAGAAGTTGGGAGGGAAAGTAAAGGATTTAGGAACCTAAAAGTGTTATGAGGTATTTAAGGGTGGTCAAGAAATCATGAAGAACAAGTATGAGTGGGTGTAGGGAGGCAGGGCTGCCAAAAGCTGAAGGGAAGGGACTAAGGTGAAGGTCAAAGGAACAGGCATAACTATCACCATCTTAGAGACTGCAGGGAATGAGAAATTTGAGGCAGAACAGAGGAGGGGTGCAGAGAGAAAAGAAGTCTGTGAAGACAACTGTTGACTCTCACCCTAGAGGTAATAATTCTCTAAGAGTTAGGCTTTGAACTGGATCATGTGAAGAGAAATAAACTGGCCAGGTAATGGAGGAAGTGGGGGAGCCTTAGAAAGATACTGTTTAAGTCCTCTAATAGGGTGAATGACTATAGCTGATGACTACAAATATCCACTCAGCTCCATAAGGACTTGACTGTAAAATCGCAGTGTGCCAGAATCTCAGATCAAAGCAATGCAATCTGACAGAGATTAATATGAAGTGTGGTTCTGAGGGGAAAAAAAGGTAATTACACAAGTGTGAGATGAGGGGGAGACATGGAAATTATTCATTTGAAAACCAGCTCAGATTTTGGTCAACTACAAGTTTCACTCAAGCCAATACAGTCATGCATTTGTTGCATTTCTATCAATGCAAGACTCATATAAGGTGATGGTTCCAATAGGCTCTACTGTAAGCCTCTGTATGCAGTGGCCTATAACACCTAGGTTTGTGCAATCACACTCTGTAATGCTCAATGATGAAATGACCTAATGAAGTGTTTCCTCAGAATGTATCCAATTGTTCAGTGATGTTTGACTGCCTTGTGGTACCCACTAAAAAGTTAACCCAATCCCAGTTTCCCTAGCATTCTTGGTACATGTGAGAATGTGCCCTCCATTTCTCGTGCCACTCACACTGACTGATCAGAGTTGGGCCTGTGTTCTTTCCTGGTGCCATCTATTGGAAGAGTCACCATGAAAGTGGAATCTGTCCACAAAGCTGTCAGAGAAGTTCTGAGAAACACAATGTTATGAGGAAGAGTTGAAGGAAGAGTGTTTAGCCTGGAGAAAAGAATACCACACTTGCAATTCTTTAAAACATTATTTCATACAAGGTAAACTTGTTCAGAAGAGCCTCTCTTTCATTTGGAACCACTCACCCAGGCTAGCTGCTCTGGGAAAGAATACCTTCTCTGTCTTGGAAATGCCCAATCTACAGGCCCCACTCAGGTTTAAACATTTAAACCTGAATGTCAGCTCTGTTACCTGTATACTCTGGCGTCTGAAACATACTATACACTACCCAATTGAGCCATCTGATATTAAAGAGAGACAGTTTAAAGGATATGAACTACCATTACTCTATGATGTTGAAGTTTTCCCTAAGTTCTCAATTAATTCATCAGGAAGCAGTAAGACTTGTGCTGATTTAAAACTTTCTGTGCATGCTTTGGCAGAACTAATAGTCAATGCCTAGAAAGGCACTGGAAAAAACAAGTTCTATATGCTTTCTATCCTACTTCCCTACCTTGAATTGGCCAGTGTCACTTTATGAAGATCGTAGTGTTTAGGGAGATAGAATAGCAGAGTATGGGTCTGGCGACAATCAGAAAAACAAAACCACCCAGCGCCACTAATTTCTGCATGTGAGACCAAGGAGATGCAAGAACAAGAACATGTGAGGCCAAGGACACGTGAGGCCAGGGACAGGAGAGCCAGTTCATCATCTGTCAAGGGGCAGCAACAAATATATCTGCCTTGTGGGATTTTCTTTTGGCAAAATTTTTAAGACTTTAAATATTAGCATCGATATTATAACAAATAATAGAATATTAATGATGAAAATACAGATCTAAGTACTTAAACTAAAAGGAATTTTCCATAAAATTTTATCACAGAGAAGCAATGATTATATTCCAATTTGGCTTTTTCAATTCCAATGATACTGAAGAAAGATGTATATGTTCATTTAACTTATGGTCTCTTTACTTCCGGTGAGAGGCTCAAGTGACATTTAGGGCTTTTCTCAGAGGCACTGGGGCCATCAACTGCAACCCCCAGAATGCAGTATCTGCATTTTCCTATTCTTGGGAACCAAGTAGGAATCTCAGGAGGACTGAAACATATTAATTTTCCTCCATTTTTATTTTACTTATTTTTAAAGATTTATTTATTTATGCATGCAAGAACTGGGGTATAGACCAGAAGTACAGGGGTGAGAGGATTCACCAGAGACAGAGTGGGGAGCAGAACAGGTGGATCCACTGAAATACACTGCTGAGGGGGGCAGCACGTGGGATAGGAAAGGTCTGCCTCGCAGTGAGGGTCAGCTCCCTGACCTAGAATGGAACTTGAACTTGTGGTACAGTGGCTGTAGACAGCTTCAGAGTGTTGAAGCCACCAGGGAAAGCTCCACTTTCCTTCTTTAAAGGAGGCAGTGACATGTTATTTCCCTCTCTCTCACTTAACAGATACTATCTTTTGCTCTCATTTCTTGGAAATAGAGTAGGGAAGAAATCACCTAATTAATTTTAAACTCCTCCATCGAGTAGATAATCAGATAAATAAAATGATTCCACATTTGCACGACCATATGTAAAGGTTAGCTTTCAGTACACTGTTTTTTATATATTGGTTTCACATTATTTCATTGACAAATTGTGTTTAAAGATCTCCACTTATTTGTGCACAAACACTTGGCCTGTCATGTTTATGGCAAACACCTTAATCCTACTTAGGTGGGTTTTTTTCCCCTATTTTGTTTCTAAGACATAAAAACCAACAATAACAGTATAAAAGAGACAGCAATTTCTTTGCTTTTAAGACATTTTGGGACCACAGAAATTTTGTATTTTCACATAGTCAAAGAGCTGCCTGTTCCATTGTGTTTCCTACCCTATATGCTTAGGGATTCTTCGTACAACCCTGCACCAGAAAGATGCCCATCCATACAGTCTATGTTCATATGATTTATTTTTGTCTTTAATTCTTTAACATCAAATGGTATGAGATGAGATTTAAATTTTTCCCAAATACTTAAAAGAAAACATTCTAATATGATTTCTTGAATTATCATTTTTTTTTCTCCCACTGATTTAGTGTGTCATATTCGCCACTACTATTATTTCTGGACTTTCTATTTGGTTACATTGATATGCCCAACAATTCATTAATGCCACCTGTTTTAATTATTGTAGCTTTATTAATTTCAAAATCAGTATCTCAAAGTCATCCTCATTACTCTTTCAAAAATACTTTCTCAATAAGTCTTATCTTGTTAGTCTCTGTTAAAAATCCAAGTAAAACCCCACAGAGTATCTGAATTTGCATTAATATATACACTAATGAGAACAATCAGTGTACTAACAATAGCCTTCCCATCAAGGAAGACTTTATGTTCAAAAATTTTTTAAATCCTTCAGGAATATTTGTTTTCCTTAAGTAGGGCCCATATATTTCGTTTCCTTAAGGTTTTCCTATTTTTTCCCTTACCAAATTAATTCCTAGATTTATTTACCAACTTTACAATTCTTTAATTTTCCAAATCATTATTTAGATTTTAGTTTTTATCATTTGCTTTATATCTGTTTTATTAGTCGTTTGTTCCAAATGAATATTCTTCACTGAATATTTACTTGTCTATTTCCTTATAAAAAATAAAATTACTTAAGGATATGAGTACAACTTCAAATAGGTAAAATAAGTTTCAAGAAATAACTCTTTAATTTTTAATTAATTTCTAACTAGTCTGTAAAAAGTAACGTTGCTTTTCTATTTTACTCCATCTTTAGGAGATGTATTTTTACTTCCAAGTGGTTAGATGTTTTTGACAGTTATCAATTTCTGTCTTATTATGTTTTTTGTGAGGGAATACCTCCATAGGTTCTTTTTTTTTTTTTTAAGATTATTTATTTATTCATACAGAACTGGGGTATAGGCCAGAGATGCGGAGGGTGAGAGGCTTCACCAGGGACAGAGTGGGGAGCAGAACAGGCAGATGGATGAAGTGACACTGCTGAGGGGAGCAGCGGGCGGGTCAGGAGAGGTCTGCCGCACCATGTGGAGCTCCTCTGGGGCAAGCGGGATCGAACTCATGTGGAAGTGGCTTAAGCTTCTTTGTGCTGTGCTTTAACCGGCTGCGCCACCAGGGAGGGCCACTCCATAGGTTCTTATTTGGGAATGCATTGTACTCCCTGTTAGTCTGGTATGTGATCTTAGATTAACATTATTTATTAATTACCTATGTTCCTATAGCGTTTTTTTGTCTATTTGTGGCCAGACAGTAAGGTGTGAATTAAACTCTCTCACAATGAGAATTCTCTGTCAGGTTGCTCCTTGTTTGTTTTCCCTCAGAATTTGATAATGTACTTTCCATTATCATATACAATGGGGTCTTTGCTCTAGTGGTTTAGGATTGCCAAGACAGAAACCTCAGAGCAGAAAAACACTTTCACGTCTGACATCTTGTTTGATCCTCGAAACAACCCATTAGAGAGACAAGGCAGTCGTCCTCATCACTGTTTTACAAAGGTGAAAACAAATTAAGTGACTTGCCCAAAGTCATATTACTCACACCTGTCTTGAAACTCTTGGTCTGGTGCCCTTTTCCTTGTTCCCCTCTGAAGAGTCACAGGTCTGTCGCCTCAGTTCCACCATGAGTTCTCAAAGCTTGGACCCTCAGCACCTGCACCTACATGATCTGCAGGCAGCACCTACTGCCTGGCCACCCACTGCCTAGCAGCTGTCTCATCAGCCCTTTGCCTGGCCTGCGTATTCTATGAATGATATCCTCATGGCTGGGGGTACAAGGTCTTGGAGCCAAAAATGATGTGACAGAAAAAGATTTACCGATGTGCAGCGAACAACTGTGATTGAAAGAGAATCTTCAGCTTCCCTGAAAAAAAAAAGAAAAGAAGACAAAAACATTTGTCATTCTGGGAGATACAGGTGTGTGTGTATGTGTCTTTCTGTGTGTCTGTGTGAAAAAGACAAGCTGAGTTACAAAGCAGACTCTGGCCTCAACTCTGTTGGCTCAGCAAAACTGAGAAGGATGTTGAGGGAAGCAGTGATCTGTAAAGGAACCAAAGCTGTTCCAAAAAGCGCCCTTGACCTTGAGGGAATCTTCAGATACCCACCCTTACCATATTAGTCATTATATTAAATCACTTGGCTTTAATTTAATCTATCCAAAGGAGAGTTCCTCCAGTTGCAATACCCACTAGCTAGTTTTATGTCCAATAAATAAATAAAGTTTTTAACAGAAAATATGGTAATAACAGAAATAACTTAGGGTACTATTTCAGAAGCCAGTGGCTAATAACTTCACTAAATAGAAAGCATAAATGTGGATAACATTTATCAGATAAAAATCCAATCAGTTTATGATGTCTGAGCACATAAAGTCAGTGTAATGAGCTCAATTATATAATCAAGATGCAAGACAATTATCTCTGAGATTCTAAAAGGAATCAAATCAGCCAGATAACTGCCAAACCTCCACTTTGTATTAGCTGACAGGACTGAGAAATCAATTCATGGTTTCCTTTTTTTTCTTTGCCATTGCCACACAGAAAAGCAGTATGCAAATGTCACTTGACTTCTGGCAATATGAACATTTAGGGCAATTGTTGCTGGTGTGTTGTTTTCTCAAATGGGTAAACTAACCTAACATTTCAAGGTGTCAAAGGGTCTCTTCCATTTTAGACAAGAACAGGCCTTTCCCAAGGAACACACAACAGTCCATGTGCTCTAAAAGGACATTTGTCCTAGTACATATTGGGAGGAATTAGAGATGTCTTGTTGCATCCTTTTGTTTGGTTTGTTTTACTCCCTTCATAAGGGGCAATGATACTGTAAACAAAATCCTAAAAAATAAGTAGTTCTGGGATACCTATCTATGGCATCTGGCAGAGAGCACAGAGCACAGCACATACTCCAGCTCAAAAGTCTTCAGTGGCACCCTGAGCAGGAGAACAGCTGAACTTGGGGTGTCAGCATTCACGGTCACTCACTGAGCTTCACTTTCCAGACCATTTCTTGGCATCCACTGGCCTTATACAAATTGGATTGCCAGTATCTCTTGCTCCCTACCCAGCTGTCCTGCTTAACATTTTGTCTTGATCATCGTTCACCTTCATCTTTGTAGGCCAAATTCTAGGCAGTGTTAAAGATAGAGCTGAGATGTTCTTGGACCCTTTCCTCAGCTGTTTTCTTAAAAAAATATTTATTTATGCATACAAGAACTGGGGTACAGTTCAGAGGTGGGGAGGGAGTGAGATGATTCACCAAAGACAGAGTCAGGAGTAGAACAGGAATATCTACTGAAGTACACTGCTGAGGGGAGCAATGGCTGCAACAGGAGAGGTCTGCTGTGCCATGTGGGTCACCTCCGGGGCCAGAGATCGGCTGTGGCTAGCTTGCAGTGCTGTGCTTTAAATCCTTTAACCCACTGCGCCACAAAGCAGGGCCCTATTTTAAAAGGCAAAGCCTGAATATCCTTATACTACAGTTCTCTTCACTCTACTCCCTCACATTTCTCTGTCTTATTCTCAGTGCTAACCAAATTTGCTCATTCAATTGAGCACCTGCCTGGCAGCAAAGAGACTGTGGTCTAGGCAGAAAGTGAGGTGTTTACACAAATCACAAAGACACCAGGTGCCATATTAATGAAATTACATATATATCAACCAGATGCTTTAAAGAGAGATATCAAAAAGTTTAAAGAAATATAAGGTTAAGTACTAATGTAGTCCCATGTTAGGCATATGTTACAACAACCTTATAATTCCTTAAAAGATATTATTCATAATTATATTTCCCATAGCACCTAGCACATTGTCTTGGGCACAGCAGGGGGTTAGTAAATAAATAAAGCACCTTATGTCTCCCAAGCCCTTCTGTAGGCAGATGAAAGTGAGCAGGTGGCAATAGTGACCACAGAGAAGTTATCTTAGCAGACAGAGCTGGACTTCTAAAACAAGGCTGTTGCTGCTTAAAAGGAGATCAAACCCAATTCAAGTCACAGGCAGACCACATATGCCATTCCTAGGGCCCATCTTTGCTCGACAATAATCTGTGAGTGATGGAAGATAATTCAGTACCTCAGAAGAGTGACTGCTTGCTCATAGGAAAGGTCTTCAGCAGGCTCGTTATTCATCTGGAGGATCTGATCACCAGGGAAAAGCTTGCCGTGAGCAGAGCCCCCTGTTGGTTAGAAAAGAAGTAACTGGAGCTTCTGCTAGGAAGGCCCAGAGCCATATGTCACAGCAGCACATCTGAGTGGCAGCCTGATGCCACCCAGGGTACTGGCTCACCCCTTAGTCTTGGCCAACCTTGAGCTCAAGTGGATCTGTCTTCCTGTTTCCAAATTCTAGATAATGTATCTACTATCTATCACCTTCAAGGGATTTTAGATGACTGTTCTGGGAAAGAAGACTAAACCCCTTGAATCAACAGAGATGGCCAGTGAATCTATTACATTCAACTCTAAAGAACTCTGGTGTGTGTGTGTGTGTGTGTGTGTGTAAATTGAAAGGAATAAATTTTAACTAGTCTCAGGTCTAGTGTCAACCCATAGCTGAAGTCTGAAAGCAAACACTGGGCATTTCCAGCCTGCTCCTCTTCATCCTGATCGAGCCTATATTTCACAAAGACTCAAGTGAAAACAAATCAATAGTTTCTATTATAATCTGACCAGAAGCTCTCCTTAGCTGGGAGCATGCAGGGTTCAAAGAGGAAGGATGGCTGATTCAAATGCTGTCCCTGGTCCTGAGCATGGCCAGGGAACAGCAGGTGGGCTAAGCCCTGGCTGCCTGTCACAGGAGCCTGAGTTTAGAGCTTTTGTGCTCTTAGGGCGTCCTCCCTCCCAGCACTAAAGGAAGGTGCAAAGCCCAAGACAGAACTAGGTCAGAATTAGGCATGCCCCCTTTTAAAAAAATTTTTTGGCTTTTTGAGGTGGCATTTTTTGCATTATGCTATAGGACAGGGATTGGAAGAGAACCAGGGCTATTTCTCCCCAAGAAGCTGACCTCCTTTTCAATTCCTAGGCAGTCCCTACCTGCTGTGACAGCAACCACTGTGAGGGGCAGGCTCTCAGAAATGTGGAATCCATAGTCCTGGAGGACTGCATCTTTGTCTATTTTCACTGTGTGTTTCACAGGGATGAGGGTCTGGGTCGGGATCCCGGGAGGACCATCGGCTACAGCAACTTTAGCCCTGGAAGAGAAGGAGTGTGTAAAAAAGGAGTCAGAGAAGGTTCACCATAAACTAGGTGGGTCACAGACATCCTGAAGGAGGCAGATGAGCAGACATTAAGTTTCCTTTTGAGAGAGGTAAGACACAGACACTAGTAGTGAAAACAACAAGTAGAATATAGCACCTGGCTCTAAAAGAGAAGTCATGAAGAGCTATGGGCACTCAGAGAAGGGGGGGCAGTTGTAACTTTATGGGGGTAGGGGACACGGAATCATGAAAGCATTTGCTACAAGGAAAGATGGTACTGGAAAGATGTCAAGGATTAAAAACACAGCCCAGATCATGGCACACAAAGATACGCAATAATTGCTGCTGATTGGGTAGGTGGGTACATGGGTGAGAGGGAAAGAGGGAGGGAGGGAAAGAGGGAGGGAAGGAAGGAGGGAGGGTGGAGGGTGAAGAGAAGCACAAGGAGATACTATTTGAGCAGAAGTACAGAAAGGGGAAAACATGGACTGGGAACAGGAAAGAGGAGCTGTTCAATGAGTGTCTGATGAATTTTATAGGAACATTGTTTTGTTAGTGTTTTTTTCTTTTTTGCTTTATGGTAAATATTGCTTCCTTTCAATTTTGTAGCTGTGAAGTTTCCAATATTAAATTCCAGATAGTGAGGACTCCTTCTATATTAATATTTCAAAGCATATATGTTCTTTCTATATCTAAAAGCAGGTAAATTGAAAGTTGGATTTTCTATCTCTCAAAACCACAAAGCAAGTCATAAGCTATTTTTCATTTGTCTGTGGCAAATGATTTTTTTCTCCCTAAGAGTCAATGGTTCTTTCTGAGGAAGGTCAAACAGAGATGGGATGTGGTGTTTATTGTCATTATAAACAACAGAGATGTGGAAGAGTAACAGCTCCCTCAGGGCTCTGCAGTTAAAGTCTATCATTTATTCTCCTCCATTTACCAAACACTGTCAGGAACTCTGCCTAATGCAATAGGGCCTCACTTATCTGAAAACCACCTCTCTGTCATTTATAATAATCTCAAACTTCAACAAGGATCAGGAAATATAAAAAACTGCCTCGTGGAGCTAAAATGCACATGACCATCCAAGTTCAAAGTCTCAAGCACATAATCCATCTGGGAGCTACTCAGACCTGGCTTAGATCTGGCCTAGGCAGTCTGAATAGATGATGACCTGAGCCACACAGCTCAGAGGCAAAGAGAAGATTTTTTTAGGCAAGCCAGGCCAAACAAAAGGGAAGAAACAAAAACCTGAAAATGTACACTTAATAAAACCCACAGATTTTCCTAGTTAAAAAATAAAAACTTTAAAGCTATAAAGGGGCTTCTTTAAATATAAGAAACAACACACTCGACAGAAAGTCACAAAACAACATTTGCCTTCTATCAATTTTAAAAATGAATTTCTCAGGAGACAAAAGGTTACAATACAAATAGCTGAAGAATGAGCACATGCAGCAAATACCCCAGTCCCACCTACTCAAAGCACGTGAATCAACAACTTGCACGTGAAGAAATAAAGCTGGTAAATAACATGGAAAATGTATAGCCTCATGAATTAAAGAAGCACAATCAAAATGGCTACTGAGTACCAGTACAAGACTACTGAAGCACCAAATATGAAGAAATTATCAAGTTCAACATGCGTGGGCCCTGGGATTTTAGGCTAAACCTATAAATTGGCTGTTCAGTCTCTCTAGAAAACCAGGGAAATTATAGTATGGATTCAAAATCTCTTCATTTTCTTTAATCTTCTGTTATCATTTTGACATTTTGACTGACATTCCTCAAAGCAATAATTCCAAACAAAAAAATAAGTATTATTTGAACTTGACAATCAATTCCTAAACAACAAGTGTGACATCTTTTATATGTTTTCCTTGTACCTGGTGAAGTCTAGAACACAATAAGAGGTCAGTTCCTGAATATTAAAAAAAAAATTCAGAATAGTGAAAAAACTTGAAATTGAGAACTCAAGAGGGAATAAGTAAACAGAGCACTGAAATGAATGACCCCCAAGACTGTATCTACATCAATGAAGAATCACCAGCATATGAATTTTAGAAAGACCCAGAACTTTAACTTAGAAACTACCCTCCCAGAGCATTTCTAATGGTAGCTCAAATATTATTTCTAAAGAAGAACTCTTGATTATTTTGCCCCCACTGCTTCACATCACCCTTAGTATAAAAGTCAAACACTTCAAACTTAGCCTCATGATTCTTTGTCTTAAGGTCTCAAACCCTGGTCAAGATCCCCCACCGGCTCCCCTTCCTGGGCTTCACTCCAGCCTAACTGCTGCAGCAGCTTTACCTACAGTCTCAGTTCTGGCAGCTGTCCCAGCAGGAAAATGTAAGACCAAGTTAAGGCTCAGCTCAAATGCCACCTTTTCCAAAAAGCCTTTTCTGATTTCCTAGCGAGACAAAAGTTCTCTGAACTCTGCCCTCTCGGTCCAGGGTATTTCATCTTTTATTGATAGCTATCTAATCCTGTATGTTATTCTCTCTAGTAGACTGTAAATTCTCTAAATGCAAGAATCCCTTTATTATCCACTCTGTAGTTCTCAAAACACTGAAAGAGCTGAAGCAGCACATCTGTGCTCATTAGGTAAATGCATGAACAAATCACTAGATAGAAAGAATAATACAAAGTATTACCTCTAACAGGACTAGCATAAGGTGAAAAAATATATGTATAGATGTGTATGTGTGTGCACATTAGACAATATGAACGGAAGTAACAGAATCCAATGTTTGTCCTTACTAAGTTTGCTTAATTTGACACACAGATCCACCCTGTGCCTATCATCCTAAGGAGGATTCACCTTCTCCATATCTCAGAGCTCAGTTAGGGGTAGCAGGAGGAAGATACTTAATTGCTTAGCCAGACTCCTGGAAGTCCTCCTTGACTTTACCCTGCTCCCCCTGATATCCTGTCAGTCACAACACCAATAATCTTTGAGGATGTCCATTTCTCTGCCTCCAGGACACCATTCTGTTTCAGACCCCCATTACCTGTCCTGCTGGTAGATTTCTGCAATAGTCTTCTACTGGTCTCCCCCCTTCTCATTCCTGTTTTGCCTGAGTGATTCTTCATCCAGCAGCTAGACTGACTTTGTAAGTGTAACCCTATTTATATATCTCCTCTAACTGAACAGCCTGGTCCAAAAATCCTTAATATGGCTTAACATAATGATTGACACAGCCATTTATTCTCTTGAGACTTTTGTTCCAGCCAAACTAGTCTCCTTAGATTTCCTCAAATACTGTGATCTTTGCATGAGCTCTTCCTTTTGCCTAGAATTCTCCCCCATATATCCTAGATTTTCCCACACAACCCAGCCACATATTGTACCTACCCAATTTCTACTTTGTCTTTTGGCTTTGGTAGCAACATCCCATTTCCTTTGCAAAATGTTTCTGCAGGACTTGTGTTTCTTTTTGAAACATATATCATATTTATAATAAGGACTCTTGTCCTCTCTATAGTTGATGAGGCAGAAATTATCTTTCTTGTCCCATGTGCTGAACTCAATGCTAGGTGTAGGTGGGGGGGGGCAAATCTTATCACAAGGTTATAATAGAATCCATTTTCATGCTTTTCAACTGGATGGGCTTTGATCATCTGACTTTCTCCACTAAAAAGGGAGCCTCCCTCAAAACTGACAGACAAAGGAGGCCTCACTACATTGACTAATCCCTGGACAGTGTCAGTAACTTTGGCTCAAAGTCTGGATTTGACATTTTCCCCAAAGGCCACATTTCAGCTTTTGTTTGGAAAGGGATTATTTAAGAACATGACCAAACTGTGGCCTCTCCTCACAAAGAATGTTCAATATTTGAAGGTGAGCTAAAGGAAATTATCTATGAGGCAAAATTTCCTTCTCTGAACTGTCTTATAAATATCACACTGAGCACTGATAATCCAAAACCCTGTGTCTGTTGCCACTGTAGTGGTTTCATACCATAAAATCTGATTTCATTCCTGTGATTTTTACACTGAATACCATAAGAACTGTGGTTACACTAATGGAATTCCTGTCAGGCAGCTCGATCCAGTCTCAGGTAGAACTAGAAAAAACATGCTGAATTTATTGTGAAAATAGTCTCAATGCAAGCTAATTCTGTATTTTATGGGTCATAAACTCCTCTTTAGCTGATCAATAATACTGAGAAGAAAAAATACCAAACAGAAAGAGATGATGCTTCAAATATTCTGCTTTCTGATATGTTGGAGAATATATTTTACCTCTATCTTGTAACCACAAAGAATTTACCGTTGTGTTCCAGCAGGATAGGGAGAAATTACTTTGATTCTATGTTTAAATATGGTATGATTTTCAGCTTGAGTGATTTTAAAAGCTAAAATCTGTTATTTGCTGGGTTTTAAATCTAGAGTTTTTCAAAGAAAGCAGAAGTAGAGACAGCAGTCTGTCCCAGGAAGAAAGTTAGCTGGTACTCATAACCACTGCACTGCAGTTGTGACTAGAAGGTTTCTAGGGGACTATTCAATGTAGGTGTGAGTGGAATATTGTAGGGGAAGGCCTCCAGTGAAAGGAAGAGGAATTATTCCACACTAGCACTTCAAAAAGAAGATTCAAGAGATTGTGGTTATTCGGCAGATGCATTCCAGAAACTCCCAGCCTATCCTGGAATCATTCCCTTTTTACCCACAGGTCAAAACAATAATAAAAAAGTAGTTCTGGAAATGGTCTTTCTACATCATTAAGAATACTAGAAAGGTCAAATAAGGCAATCACTGTAATTAGTAAGTAGGTTATTTGCGGTTGTAATGAGGAGTACATTTGGTAAGCAAGTAAAACCAACAAGGGCTTCTGACATGAAGTGGCAGGAAGCCTGTGTGTGTGTGTGTGTGTGTGTGTGTAGTTTCTGTGTACAAACATGTGCATTGTGTTCATTAGTATTAAGGTTCAAGATAGACTGAAATAAATCTTATGGTTAAGCCCTGAAGATTAAAATCAAAAACAAGAAAAGCATCCAGTTGCACTAAACTGTTTCTATAAATCCTTCCTTATAAAATGGGAATTAAAAAAATAAATTATTAATTTATTTTCTTACATCTTTGTTAATTTTTGGATAGTATTTGATTCCTCCCTTCTGGTGTACTCCCTGTAGTTTTCCCACCACCATGGCAACCATGATCCATTGTCCTCACCCCTTGTGCCCCTATTTGGATCCCTCTTCCTCTCCCTTCTCTGCTGGATGCCTCAGATCTGGGTCAGCTGCAAGCTTTGTCCTTTCCTCCACCCCAACACACACTTTGTTTGGTTCCTCTATATTCTACATATAAGTGAAACCAGATGATATTTACCTTTTCTTTTTCACTTATTTTATGCTTAGCATATCCCTTCTACTTCCACCTATGTTGCCACAAATGGAGTAAGTTTATCTTTTTTGATCACTAAGTAGTATTCCATTGTTTATATGTGTATATGTGTGTATGTATATACATACATACACACATATACACATATAAGCACACACACACATAAACACACACACACATCTACCACAACTTTTTCATTCATTCATCTGTTTTGGGGCACTTAGGTTATTGGGGCAATTTGGCTATTGTAAATAGTGCTGCAATACACATAGGAGGCAGATTTCCTTTCGGAAATCCTTTCGGACTAATGTTTTTGTGTCCTCTGGGTAGATTCCTAGGAATGGAATTGGTGGGTAATAGGGTAGTTCCATTTTTAGTGTTTTGTGGAACCTCCATTCAGACTTCCATGGTGGCTTGGAAGAGTTTGGATTCCCATCAGCAGTGGAAGATAGTTCTTTTTTCACCACATCCTCCACAGCACTTGCTGTTTCTGGTTGTTTTGTTGTTTGTTTTAATCTGAGCCATTCTCACAGGTGTGATGTGGTATCTCACTGTGGTTTTCATTCGCATTTCCCTGATAATAAGTGATGTGCCTGCTGGCCATCTGCAATTCTTTGGTGAAGAATCTTTTTAGCTCTTCTGACCATTTTTTGATTGGGTTGTTTGCTGTTTCATTGTTGAGTAGTGTAAACTCTTTGTGAATCTTTTACAGCAGCCCCTTATCAGATATTTGGCATGTAAATATTTTCTCCCTCTCAGTAGTGTGTCTCTTTTGCTGTACGGAAGCTTCTTGGTTTGATGTAGCCCCAGCTGTTCACTCTCTTTTGTTTTACTAGCTTCTGGAGACAAGTCCTCAAAGATGCTTCTGAAATTTATGTCATGGAATGGTTTGCTTATGTTTCCTTATATATATTGTATAGTCTCAAGTCTTACATTTGAGTTTTTTATCTGTAAAATGGGCATTTTTTAGATTAAGTATAAGAGAACTAAAAAAATCTTATGCTAAATTGTTTTAATAATACAGTACAATTATTCTTAAGCTCATATGGAAGATAATCATGTAAGGATAAAAAATGAAAAGTAATAAAAGTCTAGTTTACTAAATTATAAAAGTAAAAAGTTATAATACTTTGAAAGTAACTTTTAAAAGGTGTATGAAAAAAGGCAATTAGATTAAAAGATTGCAAAGCTAGTCTGTGTCCAATCATGGACAGAGGCATTCCACAGATGATAAAAGGGGGTTCATAAATCAGTGAAAAAAGTAAAGATCACTCACAGGAAATGATGCAAATCAAGCTAGATCTTCATCGCATAGCTTTTCTTGAAATAACTCCAAATTAAATAACTATATGTACAATATTTTCAAACTACTGAATTAAAGATTAATTTTCATTAATTAATGAGTGAGGATTTACTAAGCTTAGAAGCAGGTAAAGAGATTGTCAAAATAATACCATTAATTGAACAACAGGCAAAACTTATAGGGAAGATGGCTGTAACCTTAAAGGCAATAACAAGGGTTGACGAAGGTACGGCGACATTGGAAACCTCATACATTGCTGGCAGAGAGGTCAAGTGGTGCAGTCATTGGAAAAGCCTCTGATCATTCCTTAAAAAGTGAAAGATCAATTACCATATCACCCAGCCAAAACACTCCTTAGTACATACCCAGGACAAGTGAAAAATATATGTTCAAACAACAAATATGTAGCATTATGAATAACACTCCCCAAAGTGGAGATAACTTGAATATACACTAACTGATGAATAAACAAAGAAAATATTACATAATGGAGTATAATTTGACAATAAAATAAAAGGAACAAAATACCGACACATAGATGAATCTTGAACAGAATATGCTAAATGAAAGAAATCAGTCACAAAAGATCATCATACAATCACATTGTATGATTTCATTTATAAGAAATATTCAAAATAGGCAAATCTATAGGGACAAAGGATATGAGTGACTGCCTGGGAATGGGATAAAGGGCAAGTAGTGAATGGTTCTTAGTTAATATGGGATTTCTTTTGGGGGGTATTGAAAACGCTCTCAAATTAGATTGTGGTGATTCTTACATAATTCTCTATGTTCACTAAATAGATACTAAAAATCATTCACCTGTACTTTAAGTTGGTGAATTTTATAGTATGTAAAATGTATCTCAAAAAAAGAGATAAACCAAACAAACTTCCTAGTGGTCAATGCTACCTTTTATTTACATACTGAGAGATGCAGGCTATTAGAACATTCAAGGTCAGCTATTTAGGCAAGTTCAAGTTACACTGACTCTTCTGTGCAGGACTTCTTAAAGTCTTTAAGGTGCGTCAATGAACAATGAATAACCGAAGAGGGTGTTGTGTAGTGGGACACAGACATTATCACTTCCCAAATGTATCTGTCCACAAACTGTTTGGTGTGTCAGCATCACACAGGACTAGATTTTGCAGAATCACTCTTTTGCCATTCATTTATCATGTACTACTTGACCATTTACAATCTCTTGAACTCATTTATCTCTGCGCTACAGAAATAAGATGGACTTTTTGCTGCCCTCATAGAGCTTATAGTCTAGAAGAACTAAGTAGAATACACCAAGAAGAGCACTATATGATGTTACAGTCAAATCCTAACACTGACTGTGGACTGGGGGACATTTCATGGAAGATCAGGCATTTTAGCCAGGCCTTGTACTGTGGTTAGACTCTGGTCACACTGAGATGGGAGAAGGGCTTTGGCCCAGGATCCCAGGTTTAAGCTAAAAGAAGGTGAAGTAGGAAATGACGAGTAGTTCATTTTAGCTGAAATATGATATGAATGCAGTATCGTAAGAAGAACCGCTAGGAAGGGTTGTGGGTTGATTACAGAGTGCCTTGACTGTCAAACCAAAATACTCGTGTTATAAGAAATGGAGACCCATCAAAGGTTTCTAAGCAGGGGACGGAGATAGTCCCAAACAAGTCACTTTCTAAGCCTCAGGTGTTTCACTGGTAAAATGGGGCTAACCCTACCAGCCTTAACTCACTGCAGTGTGAGGGGGTGCGGTCCTGTGGAAGTGCAGACGGAGAAGGGTTTAAGGCTCAGCAGCAGAACAGCTGCGTCCATTTTCTTCAGAGGAATGTGCATCTCAGAAACACCTGACACATGATATTTCATCTCTGTGGCAGGGCCAGATGGGAAATCTGAGACAGAAAATGAATGCTTCGAAACAGAACATATTTTAAGTTCTCTTGTAGCAGTCAAATCAGATCTGTATTTGATTTCATTTTATTTTGTTTAGAATGAAATAGGGACTGCAAGGAAAGAACAGCTGCTGGAAACAAAAACAGGGAAAACGTATAAACAGCAGATCTGCTTGAGCCTGATGTCAAGGACAAAAACACGGGGTTTGTGTGTGAGGCAAGGGGAGTGAGCAGGTGTGAGTGTGGGTTGTTCAGAAGTGTGTATGAGTGTGAGCATGTGAGGGTCAGTGTGTTGATGTGGTGAGTGTGTCTGTCTCTGTAAATGTTTATGACTTTTTTTTTTTAAGATTTATTTATTTAATCATACAGAACTGGGGTACAGGCCAGAGATGCGGAGGGTGAGAGGATTCACCAGAGACAGAGTGGGGAGCAGAACGGGCAGATCGACAAAGTACACTGCTGAGGGGAGCAGTGGGCAGGTCAGGAGAGGTCTGCCACACCATGTGGTCACCTCCGGGGCAGGTGGGGATCGAACTCATGCGGAAGTGGCTTTGACTTCTTAGTGCTGTGCTTTAACCCGCTGCGCCACCAGAGAGGGCCGTGTCTGTCTCTGTGAATATTTATGACTTTGATGGGAGTGTGAATGTGGGTGCCCGCAAGGGGCGCACACAGGGAAGAGTTGGAAAGCGGACAGAGAGAAAGGCACTCCAGCAAAACTGCTGACCTGTTTATACTTCTCCCACCATCTGGTATACAAACAAAGCAAGCTGGACTCAGTGATCCCAAGGTGCTGCCAAGACTGGCAAAAACTCCTCCCACAGGGACACCAAACCTTTGCAGCTAGCCATCCCTGCCAACCCAGGAAGGAGCCTCACCGGGCTGAGCTGTCCCGAGACCGCCGAAGCCATCTTGCCACCATTTGTTCTATTCTGTGTGCCTTCCGTGTCTGAAAGAAACTGGTCTCTAGTTCCTCCATTTACCTAGAAGGGAGAAGAGTTTTCTTAAGAAGTTAACCAAAATATTTTGAAGCAAATTCTGACAAATCACTATGATGCTTTCTGTATTTACCCATTTAAGTCAGGCCGGTCAAATAACTAGCGCTTTCCTATCTGAAATGAACATAAACACAAGCTCAGAATCCATAGAGAGAATCCTGTTAGCTACCCTTTGCCCTGGAGTGCCCCAAGGTGATAAACAGGTGGACTTTTTATCTTAAACAGCTAAACATATGGAATAAGAAATAACATAGATAAGGTTTCCAAACTGTGACAGTGACTCCTAGTAAGAAACACTTTACTCTGAGTTATTGCCTCCCACCCAGCTCGGTGCGCATCCCTGGGTAGAGCGGCTGATTTCCTCCACCAGGAACTGCATGCACGCAGGTCTTCCATTCCAGTGTTCAGAATCTTGCTTTTTTTTTTTTCTTGCACATTTTATATTTAACTTGACTTTAATGTTTAAAAATTCATTTGTATCATTCAAACATTAGGCTGTAATAAATAGATAGACAGCTATTATATGGTGTTTAAAAATCTTGTTAAGAGGCAGGTCTCATGTTAAGTGTTCTCACCAATACAAACACAAGAAGGTATAATCTTAGGGGTCTCCCTTCTATCCTTACCTAACTCTACCCACCCTGCTGCACGCCCACACATAATCACTGCTCTCTTTGTCCTGCCAGATCTTCTTTATGCCTATACAAGCTAATATAAATATAGATGTTTATAGTTTCTCTTCTTAAACAAAGGATAGTGTTACACAGTATTCAGTGCCATACTCTTTTCTCTTTAGAAAATATATCCTTACCATCTTTCTGTATCTATACGCAGAAAGCTTTGTCTCTTTTGGACAACAACTGAGTATTACATTGTGAAAGTACCATAATTTTAAGTCATCCCCTGTTGATAGACATTTGGCTTATTGCTAATCTTGTGCTTTTATAAATAATACTACAATAAGTTATGTTGTACATATATCATTTCTGCGTGTATGCAATTGTCTATTTGGATAAGTTCCTACAGTGCACTGATAGATACTGTCAGGTTACCAAGAAAAATATGTATTTGAGATTAAAGTTTCATAAAATAATAATAGGAGTATCTCTCTAGTTTAATCTATTTCACTCCAGCAAATTCTGGTCTCAACTCACCAAACTTCAAAACCCAATAAGTAAACCATGAAATAAGATAGAATACTAGGAAACAACTCAGGATATAGAGAAAATAAAAAAGAAGTCGGTGGATGGGAGGAGGTAGACAAAATGGGTGAAGGGGCAAAAGGTATAAACTTCCAGTTATAAAGAAGTAATGGTGATGGTGCACAGGTGAATTGATGGTGGGAATCTCAGAGACTACACCTGAGAGGAGAAAGCATACATTGTACAAAAGTGAAGAACAATGTAACATATATAGAGAGAAAGAGAGAGAAAGAGAGAGAGCAAGATAACATATTTTTATATGTATAAATATATATATAAACTGTGACAATTTATATATACAAATATATCCATATATAAATAAAATAAAATCAGAAAAAAGAAGTCATGGGGAAATATACACAGCTTGATGGTCTATAATACCGTATATCATATTGGATAATGGCTAAGAGAGTAGATCTTATAATTTGTCGCAAGAAAGTAATTTTGAAACCATAGTGTGATGTATATTAACTGCTCTTATTGTGACAATACTTTTGCAACATATACAAATCTTGAACCATTATGTTGTACCCCTGAAATTAATATAATGGTATATGTCAATTACATCTAAAGAAAAAAGAACAGTAAGAGATTATTATGCTCCTAACAATAACAACATAGTCTTAAACCTTGAGGATATGGATTATTTTTCAAGGAAAGTATCACTGATATAAGATAACCCCAGAAGAAACAGAGAATCTAAAAAGATAACTATATAGAAGTAGAAGTTAAAAAGCTACCTTTTGCATCTCCAGAAATATCCCAGGCACAGACAAATTGAAAGGTGAAGACTTGTATGTGTAAAATGTAGCTCACCCTTATCATTTAAAAATATTTAAATGTAAACTTTTACTTAGGAATTATTTTAGATGTATAAAAAGGTTACAATGATAATCCAGAGTTCCCATCTGACCTTCTTTCAACTTTCCCTAATGTTAACATCTTATACAATCACTGTGCCTTTCTCAACATTAAGAAATTAATTGTACCAATGTATAGTAAAACCAACTAAACTACAGACTTTAACCAAATTTTACCAGTTTTTACACTGATATCCCGTTCTATTTCAGAATCCAATCCAGGATACATTGGTTTGAACCAGCTTAGTTTATTTCCTGCCAATGCTATTTGATTGTTTGAGAGCATAATTCCTTTTAAGCAGGCAGTATCAATACTGATGCCAAATGTGATTTTAAAAAAGAAAACAAGGTAAAACAAGGTAAAAAAAAATGTGAAAGCAAATATCATAAGTAAAATATCAGCAAAGAGAATCAGAAATCAACAGAGTAGTGGTGGGATCTATATGAGTATGTTAAACAGGGCATATGAAAATAAAAGCAGAACACTCTAACCAGTCACTGTGAAAATCTCAGACTGACACTTTACTGTCAAATGACAGTCAAATATAAACTAATGGACCAAAAACATAGGCTTCAACCAAAATTAAATTTCACTTAGGTGAAGGGACGCATTACTCTAGTTTTTTCTCAAATGGGAACATCAGAGTTGAACGCTGTCTTCAGTTCTAGAATCTCATTTTGTTAACAGTTTAAAAAGTAAAAGAGAGTACACTTCTGGCTAACCATGTAAAGTGAAACAATACCTTAATTACCTTCTTTTTCCTAGATCTTTTAAATTACAGTACATAAATAAAAAGGAATAAACCCATAGGATAAAGTGAACAAGAGAAGAGACAACTGTGAACAGTGTTTGGAAGACAGAAATTGTCTGAAGGAGAGGTAACTGAGCACAGCAAAGGAAATAGAAATCTATGTTTACAGAAGGGATCAGATGAAAAGTGAGTTGATCTGCTCTAAAATAGCCTAGGAATTAATCGCTGGTACAGGAGAACACAAGGACTGAAAATACGGAAACAGGTTTCCATAAGCAGCAATTGTAGTCACGGGCTTCATCCTATACCCCCCCACCCCCACACCTACCTAGATAACCACCTTTTCCCCATAAGGGGCTTCGTCCGTGGAGAGAAGAGGTTTTTTAAACTGAAGACATCAAACAAGAGACACTTCAGACTTGAGAATAGCAGGTACAGTAGAGAGTGCAGGAATGAAAATAGAAGGATTAAATAAAATACTTCTATTGAACGATAAAACTGTCAGCTCTGTCCCTTGCCTAGTTTCCAGAATAGTGGCAGCTATGATTTGTACTGCAACTAAGAGACTAGAGATGCTTCATGGAGAACTATGTGCCAGAAATAAGATTTCAGTTTTTTCTTTTTTCAATTTTAATTTTTTGGGGTAACATTTCTGCTCTTTTATTTGTGTACACATTCCACTCATCCTTTACTAAATCAGAGCACTAGAAGAGACAAACTGTGACCTCTATGTTGTTTCAATCTCTAAATGACTGCAGTTATTAGGGACCTCAGAAATATTCATAAGGATTGAAGATTATCAAGTCTTCCCATCCTTTTTGAAGATCATCAAACTGCAGTGGTTACTGATAGGGGATTGTTACAAAACTGCTGCCAAATACAATTTAGCTAACTGATTTAGATATATGACTCTAATTAAAAGAATTAATTTGCATTGTATATCTGGACTGTGGGTAGGCATGCACCTTCATCCAGGAATCCCTGAAGACCAAACAAATGACTACATCAACCAAGCCATTAAAAGTGCTCCCTGACTCAGCAAGGTCTGTGCGAGAGAGGTTAAAATCAAGAAAATGACCTGCTAATGGTTTTAATATTAGTCTCTAGATTGCTAGGCTAATGGAAGACACTAAGAGCCCAGATAACCACCAAACATTTGCATCTTTTTTTATAATCCCACTGCCAAGAAGTCATCTGGCCTTTAATTGTTCTGTCATTCACTGTGGATCCATCTTATTGCTAGAAAGTTTCTTTTCATAAAGCAGAATTCCATCTCTCTGAAACTTCAGTCTCTGGAGTAATACTACCCTCTGACCACTCTCCAACACCCTTTCTGGAGTTGAACACAGCAATCTTGTCTTCAAGTCTCTCCTGTCCAGTTCTTTCAATAGTCATTCCTCTGACAGTATCACTGTAGATCACCTTCCACTGGGAACATACCATTAAGCAAAATTCCATAAAGGGCACGAAACCCCAAAATGAGCACACTTTTGGTTGTCTGAAACAAATGTGAGAAAGCAAACTGTCTCAAAATATTTTGCAATGAAGGATACTAAATACATCAGGGTAATGGCTATCTTAAAAGCTGATAGACAATTACTCCAATGACAACAATGACAGAGGAAACTAGAGTATGTTTCTGAAAAATGAAAAAAGAAAACATGAATGGAGGCAGTAGAGGATAGGAGAGAAAATGAAGAGCCCAAAATGACTTATACTAAATTAAAATTTCAAAATAAAACTGGAGAGCCATTCCAGCGAAACAGTCAGACCTTGAATCACATGGAGAATATCAACTTACAAATAAAGGAGATAGCAGGGAAAAAAGAAGAGGAATGCATAAAGTTGTAATCAAAGAAACAATGAAAGATAAAAATTTTCTGAGTTGAAAAACTTCTCCATTTCAAATACAGAGAATACAAAAAGCATCTTTCCAGTATGCACAGAAATTGAGATACACACGTCCTTCTCAAGGAAGACTCCTTATATACCAACTCAACTTCTTAGTCTTCAAAGATTAAATCTATTATCAAAGAAAGGAAAAGATGGTTTGAAAAAGGAAAAATTAGGCTCATATGTCTTTCAGCATATTATTTAGGCACAGACTCAAGTTCTTTCTTTTTCTCTCAAAGGAATATAACAGCTTTACAATTGATATTTGAGACTGTTCT